CTATTTGGGAGCAGATACCATGTTCCAAGACCACATACTAATCCAGCAAGAACAGAATGAAAAACTGTATTGGGTATATATTTCTTGCCAGGAATGAGAAATCTGACAGTCTCAGCACCAGCACAACTTGTAAATTCATGTTCATCCTCCTCTGCTAAGATATCCGTGGTTAGTATTCTTTCTATTGTTGCTGATTTGCTTCTGGCATATAAACTTGTGAACTGGATGACAAATGCAGTAAAAAGCATTAATCCACCTGAAAGTGCTGCTGTATAATAATCTTTCAGGATGCCTAACTGGTACAAAAGTGTTCCAACTCCACCCCAAACCCATGGCATTAGAAAGAGAATAATTTGATTAACATATATGTAAGGAGGAGCACAATAGCCTAATTTCAATCGAGGGCCTCCAAGAACAGTCTGTGGAAAGCGCTTCAGAAAGAAGTCCTGCTTGTAATCGTTCAGTAGAGGCACATCTGGACTCATCATCATTCGGGATTATTCTGAAAGTCACATGCTTTTCTGTAACACAGCAGTTTCTAAAAAATAAAAATTTTAAAAAAAAGTCACTGTTTGAAAATGTCATACTTAAAACCTGTGAGGAAAAACCTCACACTTTTATTTCATCACCTCACTTCCTTCAAGGGTAGGATTTATAACTGCACTTCTCAGACCTCTCCGTGACACATACTTGATGCTAAGTTGTTACTTTTTATAAACAAAATAAATATGCTCAGTTATTTTTTTTTGAGAGACAGTCTCACTCTGTCAGCCAAGCTGGAGTAAACTGTTGTGATCACAGCTCACTGCAGCTTCAACCTCCCAGGCTCAAGTGATTTCCCACCTCTGTCTCCTGAGTAGCTGGGACTGCAGGCACATTCCCCAATGCCTGGCTAATTTTTTATTTTTTGTAGAGATGGGGTTTTGCCATGTTACCCAGGCTGGTCTTGAGTATCTGGGTTCAAGTGATCCTCCTGTCTCACTTTGCAAAGTACTGGGATTACAAGCATGAGCCACTGTGCTCAGCCTTATTTTTCGTTAAAAAAAAATCACATTCTTTTTAAATTTATAACTTAATATTTGGAATTAGACTTTAACTAACATATTTAAATGCTGAGGTTCACGGTAAGTCCAAATTGCCAGTACTTTCAATTCAAATCAATTTAGGTTACTTTTATTTAAGAAGCCATATAAATTTAAGTATCAAATAACAGAGAGAGCATTCTCTTCAGTTCAACTCTTCCTTATTCCTTGCAGCTTATTCTGAAAAATAATTACCCTACGCAAAACCAGCTAGCAAGGTATTACTTCGGTGGATCATGTTAGGCTACAAGGGAAAAATAAAATTTAAAACCATCTTAAAATAGTCTTTCTTCCAGTCAGTTTAAAGATAGTCTTTCCTCTAGTCAATTCTACCTAACCAGTATCAATTCTGGAGAGAGATTTGGGGCAGCATGAAAAGTTTGGAAGTCACCTTTAAGAATTAGTATGTTAGATCACCTCTTTGTTATACTGCTATGAAGTTTTTCATGAAGTTTTAAAAATTGTAAACATCTATCTTTTTACATCTTCCAATCATGGTCTTAGTTCTGCACAGAATGAATCACAGCTTTTACTCACATGACAGCCCTGCAAGTATAGCTAGCCCTCCTGTATCTGTGAGTTCTGCATCCGTGGATTCAACCAACCACAGACTGAAAACAATCAGGAAAATAACTGTATCTGTACTGAACATGTACAGATTTTTTCCCATTATTATTCCCTAAATAATAAAGTATAGCTATTTTTATAGCATTTACATAGTATTAGGTATTATAAGTAATCTAGGGATGATTTAAAGTACAGCAAGGAAATGCATAGGTTATATGCATATACTATACCATTTTGTATCAGAGACATGAACATCCTTGGATTTTGGTATCTGAGGGAGGTCCTGGAACTTAACTTTCACAGATACCAAGGGATGACTGTACTCACAAACTAACAGAACTACAGGGCCAAATCGAACCTTAGTGATCTACAGGATCAATCTTAGGGAATAGAAAGAGTTCCTCCTTTCCCTCTGTACAAGCTTGTCTCCTGCACTGAGGTCACTGCATGATATTCCACTATAATTGTCTTATAGAAACCAAGGAGTAAGAAAGGTCACACTCCTGTGGGAGGGGATAAGCATTCTGATATGAGTTATCTATGGAAGATGCCATCAAACAGGAAAATGAACTTGGATGGATGGTCTGGGTTTTGAAGAATCTGGATGTGCCTGAAATTTCTCCAAAAAGTTAGGCAAAAGTTGGCCCTTCTAGCTCTACTGAGATAACTCAGAAACAAGGTAGTGTGGCTTCCTGGGAAAGTAAAGATACTTTATAAACCAGATTATCTAACTGCATGTTAATATTCCTATTCATTTCCCTTTTAGTATTTCTGGGTCTTTTGTAAAGTTTTGTTTAAATGTTTTCATCCATTTGATGAAATAATCTGTGATCATATTCCAAATAGTGAAATATCTGAAGTGTTATTATTGTAGAAACATGCAAAGATGGCCATGATATACTGAAAAGTAAAATAAACACACTACTGATTCCATTTGTATCCAAAATAAAGAGTACACACACCTGTGTATATAGTTTCATACAGTTTGCATATGCATAAGAAGTTTCAGAAGGAATATTAACTAAGCTGTATTTTATGTGTAACATTTAACATTTCTTCAAATTACCAGATGTCCTCCAGAACTCTCAACATCACACCCTGTAAGTACATTCTGTGTTTTTCTTCCATTAAATTCATGCTCTCTCCTTTACCCAGGATGATGTCCTCTCCTCTGTTCCCAAATTAGTGACTTTAAGCAACTTTTAAGACATTCCTAAAAATTCTGCAGAGCAGATTAGTCTAGCTGAATATCTCTTCTCTTTGTATTCTAAAACCACTGCTTGTTCTACATACTACAAGGTGGGCATCACAAATCTGAAATACCAATTCCTTCAAAAGCTGAAACTTTTTTTTTTTTTTTTGAGATGAAGTCTTGCTCTGTCGCCCAGGCTGAAGTGCAATGTTGCAACCTCGGCTCATTGCAACCTCTGCCTCCCAGGTTCAAGCAATTCTCCTGCCTCAGCCTCCTGAGTAGCTGAGCTTACAGGTGCACGTCACCATGCCCGGCTAATTTTTCTATTTTTAGTAGAGATGAGGTTTCTTTATGTTGGCCAGGCTGGTCTCAAACTCCTGACCTCAGGTGATCCACCTGCCTCAGCCTCCCGAAGTGCTGGGATTACAGGCATGAGCCACTATGCCTGGCCAGCTAAACTTTTTAAGTGCCAACATGATGCTTAAAGGAGATGCTCATTAGAGCATTTCTGATTTTTGGATTTGGCATGCATAACTGGCATAATGCAAATATTCCAAAATCTGGAAAAAAAAACAAAACCCAAATCCAAAATACTTCTGGTCTCAAGGAATTTGGATAAAGGATACTCAACCTATACTTACCTTATTACATGTATTAGTATAGCGCATTTCTCATAGTAACTTCTTGTATTGTTCACCTCCTTACATTTTATCTTTTCAGATTTATTTTCTCTACTAATAATATGCTATTTGGCATAGGAGCTGATATGGTTTGGCTGTTTCCCCACCCAAATCTCATCTTAAATTGTAGCTCCCATAATTCCCATGTGTTGCAGGAGGGACCTGGTGGGAAATAATTGAATCATGGGGGTGGTTTCCCCCATACTGTTCTTGTGGTAGTGAACAAGTCTCATGAGATCTGATGGTTTTATTAGGGGAAACCCTTTTGCTTGGTTCTCACTGTCCTTGTCTGCTGCCATCTAAGACATGCTTTTCACCTTCTACCTTCTGCCAGCAAATTGGTACTGGGAGAGGGGTGCTGCTGTAAAGATGTGCAAAAACGTAGAAGTGACTTTGGAACTGGGTAAGAGGCAGAGGTTGGAACAGTTTGGAGGGCTCAGAGGAAGACAGCATAGAAAACAAATTCACAATTACTAAAAGGTACGCCCCAAGTGAGAATTTGGTATATAGTTCTGAAAGACTATTAATTCCCAGAAGAACTAAGGCATTAGTTCTACATCTCTACAATATTCAAATAAAAAAAAGGCTCAAGACTTAGGAAAAAAACTTAAGAGAAAAGAGATTTGAAAAGAGAACTTGATGTTTAAAGATGACGTTAAAACACTGATTTAAGCCATATGCTTTCTCCATATACTACTCTGAAAGCAAGCCAACAAAATAGCCACAGAAATGTTGCTTTATTTGGAATCTCAGTCATATTTCTTAAGCATTACTCAGAAGAGTAAGAAACAGAGATCAATTTGGCAATGTACTGGGAGGGAAATCTTAGTTACCAAAACTGTATGTAACTCAGGCATATGTAACACCACGCTAAAAATCTGTTAAACAAAAAAACAAAAAGTGGCCATGTTTTTGGATTAAATATGTAGTTTTCTAAGTTCAATAAAATTTTTAAAGAAGTTGTAGCGATTGATTTTTGTTTAGTAAAGTTTTTTTTAAATGTATCGTATTATTTTTATTGATTGGTTGATTTCATTTATTGAATCCCTCTTTTTTCCTGTATTGTTAAGAGTTTGATTTTTTTTTTTTTGACTTAGAAATTCAACTTTATTTACAAATGTTCTCCTATAAACAAAGACACCATTGTACCCCTTTAAAATATTGTAACTGACAATTTCGACAAAAACCATTTACACAGTTTCAACCTTTCTGCATAAAACTGTATTATGAGATGAGCAACCTCACATGATGGTCTGAGACATCAAAATAAAACAAAATAAAAGACAACGTATCCAGCATGAACGTCCTATTGTCAAACTTAATGAGGAATTAAGAATCACACCCCACAATGTGCTACTCCACCAAGAAATAGAAACGTAATGATTTTTTGAGAGGTAAATGCTGCACGATAAACAGTCTTCTTATGTAGTAGTTTAATTGTGATTGCTTAGGACTGCTCTTGCAGACTAATATTTATGCTTTTTTTTTTTTTTTAAAGCATAAATAAAAAAGCACTGTAAAAAGGGCAGACTTATAGATTTTTCTGACAATGAAAATCTGTAGATAGTGGTCTTGTCTCATCATTCAGGCCAATTAATAAAATAACAAATGCATGGAAAGAATGTTAAACAAAAACATAATCATCATGTGACTAACTAACAGAATTCTCCCTGAAATCAGAGAGTATTAATACTCAATAGTATCTATAAATTTGAATTTATAGGTGAGACAACATATAGACAAAATAACCAAGGAGTTTAAAATAAAATTATTCAAATTACCTATTTTTCATTTTATGTGCAGTAATTACTTTTAAAAAATATTTTAAATTTTATCTTGGAATAACCACTCACATCCTAGCTAAGTTGCAAGGAACTTCAAAACTTTGAAAACAAAATTCATCCCTGAGAAGTGAGAGATAGAAAAATATCTTAAAAAAAAAAAAAAAAGAAGCAATGGTCTTGCACTCTTTTAACAATCTCACCACAGCATGAACTACTATTAACAGTGAGCAATCAGATATTCCAGTCCTGGAGAGTTACTGCCTCTCATGAGCTGATCTTTTGGTAATGAAACCATAACTGCAACGTTGAAAAAAAAAAAAAAAACCAGATAAATAGAAACTCTGGTTTTATTTTCAGCTTTACATTTTTGACAAGTGCAAGGTGAGCTAGTGATATAAATATTCCAATAATGACCGAAGTAATAACTTCTACTGGCATGTCTTCTTCTGAGTCTCCATTTCTTCCTCTGACATTCAACCAAATAATAAAAGTAACACAATTGCAATTGAGTTTACTATTATCAATGGCACTCTCATCACGGTTCTTACAGATCGAATAAGGTTCATTAGCTGTGATTTAATTCCCGGCTCCTCTCCGAATCCACCAATTCCCTGGTCTGTTCCCCAGCCAATGTTCTTGAGGAATCGCTCTTCGTGCAGCACAGCGATGGCGTTAACGCACAGCAGGGCTGCCTGCAGCAGTGAATACAGGGTAAAGGCCATGGCGGTCCGGAGCCGCCCGGAAGTCCCAAGAGTTTGATTTTTTATTGTGGTAAGAACACTAACATGAGATCTACTCTTAAATATTTAAGTATACAACACAGTGTTGTTAGCTACAGACACAATGTTGTACAGTAGAGCTCTAGAACTTACTCATCTTCCGTAACTAAAACTTCATACCTATTGAATAGCAACTCCCCATTTTCCCTTCCCTCATTCTCTGGCAATCACCATTCTACTCACTGATTCTGAGTTTGTCTATTTTAGATACCTCACAAAAGTGGAATGTAGTAGTTGTCTTTCTGTGACTGGCTTACTTCACTTACCATAATGCCTTCAAGGCTCATCTGTTGTTACACATGGCAGGGTTTCCTTTTTGTTTTTTTTGTTTTTTTTTAAGGCTGAATAATATTCCATTGTATGTCTATACCACATTTTCTTTAACAATTTATCTGTTGATGGATATTTAAGTTGTTTCCATGAATAATGCTGCAATGAACATGGGGGGGCAAGCATCACTTTTATCTTGATTTCAATTATTTTGTATAAATACTCAAAAGCAAAATTGCTATATTATATGGTAGCTCTATTTTTTTTTTTGAGGAATCTCCATCCTGTTTTGGCATAGTGGCTGCATAATTTTGTATTCCCACCCAGCATACAAGGGTTCCGCTTTCTCCATATCCTCATAAACACTCATCTTTTGTCTTTTTGATAGTAGTCATCCTAACAGGTAAGGTGATATTAAGGAGTACTTCCGCACTGAGGCACTTGTCTCAACTATATTTTTGTTATACTTTCAGGAGACTATCTATCTTCTAATAGATCTGTAGAAATTTATGAAATCATTGCTCACTTTTTTTTTTTTTAAACTTCTAGGAGCTCTTCTTTAATCTCTGAGTGTTCCTTTTTATGAAACTGTTGATGAAAGAGTCGAACTCTATATTTTAAGAGATTTATTCTGAGCCAAATATGAGTGACCATGGCCCATGACACAGCCCTCAGAAGGTCCTGAGAATATATGCCCAAGGTGGTTGGGGTACTGCTTAGTGTTTTTTAGGGAGGCATGAGACATCTATTAAATACATTTAAGAAATACACCTATATGACCATGGCCTACTATGCAGCCATAAAGAAGGATGAGTTCATGGCCTTTGCAGGGACATGGATGAAGCTGGAAACCATCATTCTCAGCAAACTAACACAAGTACAGAAAACCAAACACCACATGTTCCCACTCATATATGGGAGTTGAACAATGAGAACATGTGGACACAGGGAGGGAAACATCACACACTGGGGCCTGTCAGGGGTTGGGGGCTAGGGAAGAGAGGGCATTAGGTGAAATGCCTAACGTAGATGATGGGTTGATGGGTGCAGCAAACCACCATGGCACATGTATACCTATGTAACAAACCTGCATGTTGTGCACATATATCCCAGAATTTAAAATGTAATAAAAAAGAAAAACATAGAAATACATTGGTCTGGTTTAAAAAGGCAGGACAATTCAAAGTAGGGGCTTCTAGACTATAGGTACATTTAAACATTTTCTGGTTGACGATATATTGAGTTTATTTGAAGACCTGAGATCAACAGAAAGGAAATGTTCGGTTAAAATAAAGGATTGTGGAGACCAAGTTTTGTGCAGAGGAAGCTCTCAGATAGCAGACTTCAGAGAGCAGGTTGTAAAATGTTTCTTATCAGACTTAACAGGGTGCCTGGCTTGTAGCCAATTATCTCTTAGATTTGGAATGTGGATTTTTCCTACAAGACGCTTTGCAGGGCAATTTCATGGTATGGCAAAAAAATATATTTTGAGGTAAAACATTTTGATTTTATTCCTTGTTACGCCAGAGTCAGATGGAAAAGTCAGTCATGATATACCGGGATAAATAAAACCCATCTGATGAGAATTTATGATGTGTAGGGTGTGACTCTCCAGGCTCCTTAGACGGGAATTTAGGCAAGATTTAAAAAATCAGAGCAGAGTCCTCAAAATACTATTATTATTTCATCAATATGGTTTAAGAATATTAATTACAGCTGGGTGCGGTGGCTCATGCCTGTAACCCTAGCACTTTGGGAGGCTGAGGCAGGTGGATCACCTGTGGTCAGGAGTTCAAGACCATCCTGGCCAACATGGCAAAACCCTGTCTCTACTAAAATTACAAAAATTAGCTAGGCGTGGTGGTGGGTGTCTGTAATCCCAGCTACCTGGGAGGCTGAGGTGGGAGAATCACTTGAACCCAGGAGGTAGAGGTTGTAGTAAGTAAGATTGAGCCACTGCACTCCAGCCTGGGTGACAAAAGTGAAACTCCATCTCAAAATATTAAAAGAAAAAAAAATTACGTGTATGTATTATTAATTTTTTTTTGGTAAATTGGCTTTCATGTCCTTTGCCTATTTTTCTATTGGAGTGATCCTTTTTCATCATTTTTCTTAGGAATTTGGAAGAACTCTTCATATATGAAGGGCATTAACTCTTTGACATGACAGTTTTCTTTTTTTTCCCTTTGAAATCCAGCACTAGACAAGGATGCCTCCTCTCACTACTCCTGTTCAATATGGTTTTGGAAGTTCTAGCCAGAGCAATTAGGCAAGAAAAAGAAATAAAGGGCATTCGATTAGGAAAGGACGAAGTCAAATTGTCTCTATTTGCAAATGACATGATTGTATATTTAGAAGACCCCAATGTTTCAGCCCAAAATCTCCTTAAACTGATAAGCAACTTCAGCAGAAGACTCAGGATATAAAATCAATGTGCAGAAATCACAAGCATTCCTATACACAAATAGCAGACTAACAGAGAGCCAAATCAGGAGTGAATTGCCATTCACAATGGCTACAAAGAGAATCAAATACCTAGGAATACAACTAACAAAGGATGTAAAGGACCTCTTCAGAACTACAAACCACAGCTCAAGGAAATATGAGAGGACACAAACAGATGGAAAAACATTCCGTGCTCATGGTTAGGATGAATCAATATCGTGAAAATGGCCATACTGCCCAAAGTAATTTTTAGATTCAATGCTATCTTCATCAAGCTACCAAGGACCTTCTTCATAGAACTGGAAAAAAACCACCTTAAACTTCATATGGAACCAAAAGAGAGCCCACATACCCAAGACAATCCTAGGCAAAAAGAACAAAGCTGGAGGCATCACACTACCTGACTTCAAACTATACTACAAGGCTACAGTAATCAAAACAGCATGGTACTGGTACCAAAACAGAGATATAGACCAATGGAACAGAACAGAGGGCTCGGAGACAATGTCACGCATCTACAACAATCTAATCTTTGACAAACCTGACAAAAACAAGCAATGGGGAAAGGATTCCCTGTTTAACAAATGGTGTTGGGAAAACTGGCTAGTCATGTAGAAAAAGCAGAAACTGAACCCCTTCCTGACACCTTACACTAAAGTTAACTCCAGATGGATTAAAAACTTAAACATAAGACCTAACACCATAAAAACCCTAGAAGAAAACCTAGGCAAAACCATTCAAGACATATGCACAGGCAAGTACTTCATGACTAAAACACCAAATGCACAGGCAACAAAAGCCAAAATAGACAAATGGGACCTAATTAAACTGTAGAGCTTCTGTACAGCAAAAGAAACAATCATTAGAGTGAACTGGCAACCAACAGAATGGGAAAAAATCTTTGCAATCTACCCATCTGACAAAGGGCTAATATCCAGAATCTACAAACAACTAAAACAGATTTACAAGAAAAAAACAACCCCATTCAAAAGTGGGCGAAGGATATGAACAGACACTTTTCAAAAGAAGACATATATGAGGCCAAAAACATGAAAAAATGCTCATTATCACTGGTCATTAAAGAAATGCAAATCAAAATCACATTGAGATACCATCTCATGCCAGTTAGAATGGTGATCATTAAAAAATCTGGAGACAACAGATGCTCAAGAGGATGTGGAGAAATAGGAACACTTTTACACTGTTGGTGGGAGTGTAAACTAGTTAAACCATTGTGGAAGACAGTGTGGCAATTCCTCAATGACATGGAAATAGAAATTCCATTTGACCCAGCAATCCCATTACTGGGTATATATTCAAAGGATTATAAATCATTCTATTATGAAGACACATGCACACGTATGTTCACTGGGGCACTGTTTACAATAGCAAAGACCTGGAACCAACCCAAATTCCCATCAATGACAGAGTGGACTAGAAAAATTTGGTACACACACATGGAATACTAAGTAGCCATAAAAAACAATGAGTTTGTGTCTTTTGTAGGGACATGGATGAACCTGGAAATTATCATTCCCAGCAAGCTGACACAAGAACAGAAAATCAAACACCGCATGTTCTCACTCATAGGCAGGTGTTGAATAATGAGAATATATGGACACAGTGAGGGAGCATCACATACAACAGGGGTCTAGAGGAGGGACAGCAGGAGGGACAGACAGCCAAAGGGAAGGTTATCTTGGGGTTGGCATGCGCCTAGTTGGGGAGGGGTCTGAAATGTTTCTGGTCAGAGATGTCATTTGTGATTTACGGTCATATTGACCTTAGCCATAAGGCTAATGCCTTTTGGATTTTGGAAGTTTTTGAGGAAGATGAAACTCAAAATGGTGGTACTTGTCCAAGACGGCAATGCTCCTGCCCTGTCACACAGGAATTGGTTTGTAGAGAAAACTATGACCAGAAGGGAGGGGTGACTGGAGAGCTCAAAGAATCTACTGCAGGTATTGGCAACACTTCACAAGTGGAATGATGGATTGTTGGTTCAACACGAGAATTGAGCTGACAGCATCCATTACTCATGGAATGCAAAAACAGTAGGAAATAGCTGAGCATCAGAAATGTACAGTAGGGCCAGCCAATACTTCTGTTTCCTAAATCTCACACATCATACTGAAGGACTGTGTTAAAGAAACTTCTCTTCCCAGGTCTGCTAGGGGAGGAGTTTCAAATGTAAAATTATTTGTCTGGTTTTCCCATGCATGGGGGCCAGACAGGGAAAGACAGGTGGGGCTCCTTTAATCTCAAATTCCCACCAA